GCCCACATTTCCTCCTGTCTGGCCAACTCTGAACTATCCTAAATTCTCTACGTGAGTCTCGGCAGAGACCTGAACGCAGCAGCACTGCCGCTGGGTGGTACTCACTTCGAAACTGTCTGGATGATGAAAACGTCTTTTCCCCTCACGGATTCTTGAATCTGTACTCTTGTTTCTGGCAGAAAAAGAGAAATTAAAAAGTAAGGCAGGCTAAGGTTGGCATATAATTTAAAATTTTTAAACTACATAAAGATCTGTGTTATTTTTTAAGGCTTTCTAAGCTATGGAAACAGGAACTGTTACATAGATACAAGATTTTATACACTAAAATAAACACAAAATAACCATTGCATTAGTCATTTTTTTAAAACTACATTTAGTTACATGACATCCTTAAGAGGAAATTCTATTTCTTTTTTTGAAATCCTATTTCTAACCTAAAATCAAGTAAATACATAAGCAGTGAGTGTTGTAATATATACCTCTCTGATCAACCAGCATCTATTGAAAACTAGGCACAAAAGGTTGTGTTATAAAAACAAAGTTAAGTGAGATCCAATATCCCTTCTCTCAAAACATTTGTGATTAGCCAGAAGAAAAGGATTAAGCAACTCCATATTCTACAAACTTTGCCAAGAGTCAATGCTATGGGAAGGTAAAGAAAAGGTGAGGGGGCTCTTGTAGATCAGAAGAGACGAAAAAGAAATAACAGATGCATCAGGTGAGCAATGAACCCTGGCTGCAACGATGAGAAACCTACAAGAGCATCTTCAGAGCAACGAGGAGCTTGAGACTCCAGCCTGGATATGAGATGATTCAAGAATGGCAGCAACTTTCAAAAATATGATCATGGTACTACCGTATGAGAAGTTCTTATTCTCAAGAGATGCAGGTTCAAGCTTTTTGAGGTTAAGCGCCTTAATGTTTACAATTCTTTTCAAATGGTTCCACATGTATATATAATTCAAAGGCGCTCGATCTGGGTGGCAGGTATATCTACACGTGAGTGGTGACTGTGCTATTCTTAAGTGTCTGAATCTTTCCATAAACCATGTTGGAAAACGACCCAGCACACATTTGCAAAGGCGTACGGTGTGCTACAAAGACAACCAGCCTGTTCCGACATTGACTCAGCTACCTCTGCAACCTTCTTACCTGACACGGAATCTGCTAACAGTAACAGAATCTGGTCACAGTAACAACTCGGCATGTTGTGTCCCTCTTTCCTTCCCAAGAGATACCAAGTATCGTTTCTTCCTACACAGGCACGTTCAGAGAGGAGGGGCAAGCTCCTCTGAGTCTCACAGTGATAATTCTTTCTACTCCAAACTCTCCCTGAGTATTCTCTTCAAAGACTACACTTTCCCTGGAGCCACATCTTAGGAAATCTTAGGAGGTGAGGAAAAGGAGTCAAAAACAGAAAAATAAAAATTTTTTTTTTAAAAACAGAAAAATAAATACAGGAAGAGCAAAGTTGTGCCCTCCCATCAGGGACTCCTGTACCTTGCTAGTATTTACACACCTGACAAAGTCTTACAATAGAAATGGAGAGGGGACCACTTACTGATTGAGCAACTACTAAATGCCAAGGATTCTGTTAAACTCACAGATTATCCCATTTCATCCTCAGAAGCGCCCTACTGACTAGAAAGCTTATATCACTTGGCAAGGACATGGTTGTATGACTATCAAGCACATACAGGCTGGTCATCATTACTGCTAGAATAATTTAAAATATCCATCATTTAGAAGGCAGTTACCTAGAAGGCAATTACAAATACATGGTCCTCAAAATTTGGGGTGATTGTATAACAACAAAAATCAATTAGTAAAATGAATTCCTAACAAGATTTCATGAGCCCGACCCATGCAGTTCAGGTGGTGATACGGAAGTTAACAATTAAAACTGTGTTCATACAGGATTTCGTCACCCTATATAAGGGGACACAGCTTCAACCAACAACTCAGCAAATGCTCCATACTGCGGACCAGCTGGTTCCTATATTTACACAGTGTTGTCGGATGAGGTCTAAGAGCTGGAGTCTAAGCCTCAAGAAGTGTCTTTCCCCAGGATTACATAACCAGTTGGTATTCACCACTGTTACCGAGTCCATTCTGACTCATAATAAACCTCTAGGACAGAGCAGAACTTCCCCAGGGGGTTTCCAACGCTG